AAGAAAGAAACTATCAAGGAAAATCAACTTCTGTTTTGTTTCCACATCATCGGATGATAAATAATAAATAAAAAATGAAAATATAGATTTATTTTATTCTAATTAGATATTAGTCCCAAGAAAACTTGAGATACTAAAGATATAAGAATTGAGATATTAAAGATTACTAATTATAGAAAATAATATATAATTATTTTAATAATTGATGGGATGAGGAGATTTATTTTTTCTTTAATCCCCAAAATAATAGCATATATAGATAATTTTAATAAGAAAGAAATTATCAAGAAAAATCAACTTCTGTTTTGTTTCCACGTCATCGGATGATGAATAAGAAATAAAAAAGGAACATTGGAAATATATATATATTTATTTTATTCTAATTAGACGTTGGTCTCAAGAAGACTCTGACCCCATAAAAATAAATGAAAAGCAACATCCATTCACAGTGCACATATTCAAGAAGAAGAACCATTCTTGCTGAAAGGAACAAGCTGAACAAATCAAACAAATGCGTCGAAAAATCGTTCGATGTAATGCATCACGGAGTTGAAGATGGACCATTTGGAATTCCGGATCAGTATCTGACGTCTGGACGTAGGCAAGGGAACAGCTGCAAGACGAGATGAGGAAGAAAGCAGTCAGTAATCAGAGAGTGCACCAGCCGATTGATTGCGGAGCTCGAAACCTACCGCGGTCCAACAGGAATCGTCGTTTCGGTACGCCTTCTCGGCGGTGGCTGGAGATCGCGTTGGTTGGACAGGAACTTTGGGCAGATGAGCTGCGGTGCTCGCCTTCTTGTCTTCTTTAACTTGGTTGAAGATGACTGTGTAACCTGGAGTAAATTTAGGATCGGTTGCATCCCATTCACCGAACTTGGGCACCGCCGTGGCTCTCTGCCGTCCCTGTCGCCACCAAAAGCATGCAAGAATCACAACCAGAACCACAGAGACATCAGACAACATCATGAAACGTGAAGATTCAATCTTGGAAGTCTTACGGCTAGGCCTCCACGAGCGTTTCCTGCTCTGCTAGGTGATACCGGCGACGGAGAAGGGATGTAGCCGACTTCTCCTGGATTCCTGCGTGCCGCTGCATGGTTTCTACCATATCGGTCCACGGTGGTTCCCTGGCTGCTGTTTCTGGACTGCGGCGGAGCTGGTGCATATCCTCCTTCAAGTTGTCGTTCTTCCCTGCCATTGTTTGGCTTCGACTGCGGATTCACCGGGCCTTGTTTAGGATATGGATATGAGGGTTCTGCAGCCAATGGCCCAGGCTTGTGGAGCTCCGGGCTCTGCTCAGGATCATTAGGATTGACAATGTTTGATCCAGTAGCTTTCCCCTTGCGTGCCGTTTCGAAGTATGTCGTGTAGGCAGCGTTTTGGTTCCAATCACCAAAACGTGGAACATGTCCCCGTTGCTGCAAGATAGAAACAACAATGTAGAATTTTTATTATCCACAGATCTATGGCAGTGTTCTAGTTCTGATTCTAGTATGATGTTGAGCTAGTTTTGCTTGATACAGCATGAAGATGAATCACACTCAATTGAGGCATTGGTTTAGTGCCACAGTTAATCAATGAAATGAATGATGCATCAATATAATTGTGAGAAAAATAAAAATGACCTTCATACAGAGCACATTGGCACACAAGCTTCAAGGCATGGCATCTTGCAGAAGAAACAAGCAACGAGTTACATGCTCTTTATGGGTTGTAGGCTCATCATTTGAAGAACTAATTTGAACTCTATCAACCATCTCAACAATATATACTCACAAGTTGATTTGAATGTTTCAAGATTACTAAGACAAGACCAGATCATTTTAGTTGGACATTCTCGGAACAATGATCTTAAAGAACTTCATCAAACATCTCAACACTAATTCTCAACAACTTTTCGAGTTCTTTTCCAAATGAGGAACCAATGAGAAAATATTATCATACAAGTTGAATCAAGTAATTTGGACACTTCATCATTCAATTTGCTTATGAAGCATCTGTTTTTAATGGGCATAACCTGAGAAATACACAATTAATTCTCCATTCATTAGCACTCAAAGCAATTACATCAATCTAAATTCACCCATTTGTCCGGACTCTTAGTTCTTCTCTTTTGTTATGGAGCCTACTAATAGCTCCAGAATAATTGATATTAGACCTCGTAAAAGCAGTAAGATCAGTCTTCGACGAAAACAACAAGAATAACAAGCCATAATGTCCCAACTAGTTATTACAGATAGACTTACAAGAACCTCATTGAGACAAGTCTGACTCTACCATGATGGATCACTCAAATTTTATCCATGGATCAGATAGACTTACAAGAGATGCAAGTCCAGAATCATGAAAGAAAGCAACAGTGATTTGCATATAAGATGAATGTGGAACAACGAATACCAATTCCCGGTAATCTTAACACTAAAGTGTTGGAAAAAAGAACCACTTTACACTAAACTAACTTGATATAACAAAATGTCAAATACTTCACTCTTAGCTAACCAGTTGTCTTCAAGAACACCTTAACCAATGATGCAACTGTAGTTCTTGTACACCAATGTATGAATCTACATGATTCTCGTAGGCACCTCTTTCATGCCATTCAAGTGCCTATGTAAGGGATGATTTGATTAGACCATTCTTCTCCATCTAAAACAAAGACTGTCGAAGCAGAATCATGAAAATGTCATTTCAATTAGCTTGATCTCATTTAGAACATACTTCCTCCCTCCAAATTATATAGATTATGCATACCATCGTATTATTATATATATGATCAGAGATATTGCACTGCAGATTCAGATGATTCAATCTTGAAAGTCTTCACATAAACTGTCCCTTTTTCATTGCAACTTTCTATTGTCCAACATCCAACTCAATGTGAGTTTGCAATCACCAACCAGGAAAAAAATGCAAAATCTCACAAAGTCAGCTCCTGTTCATGGTATGATTTCCTAAAACCAGCTAGACAATAGTATGATTCATTAATCTAACAAAGTCATGAAAAAGCTATTTAGCTGAACCTGTATGAACAATTTGACAATGCACAGGGTTGGCCCTCAGTCACCATCTGCTGATCTGTAGTTGCAGCTACTTCTTGCCCCACCAACTATTTAAGTAGTGGCCAATAGAAACTTTGTCTCTTAAAGACCTCTAAAATACATTACCAACAATTCATTATAATAAAACAAACATAGAGTTTCTTTTTATTTTATTAACATCAAAAAATTAAAGTCCCAATTATTCTGTGGCTATTGACCATTATCTTTACCAATTCAAAGTCAACTTTAAGGCATTTGCTACTCTACCTGCTCTGCAACTTGATGTAACATCTAATACCTTTGAATACTAATCATTCATAAAATAAATGAAGTCAATTAAATGGTTTGGTAAAACTTCTTCAGTAATGGATGGGCATGTTCATGCCCAAGTTGCCAAAGTAATTAGATTTTTATTTCAGAAAATGAATGTTTGATGGCAAGGAGATCAAAATACAAGCAGTTTCATGCATGAGGAAAAGAACCGATGAGCACATAATTTTAGGAATATGTGAACAATAGGCTGCTAACTTAAAAAGCAATCAAGAAACAAACACTAAAAAGAGCATGAAGTATCCTTTAAATCGAAGGAACAGGACAGTAATCATGCCAAATCAACATGAGAGGACCCAAAGAATTGATATTATTCTTGACCTAGCAACCTTTATACAACCAACGACTCCCCAATCCATCATCAACACCCCAAGATAAGAAAGAATAGACATGAAGAGCATTCCCATATGCATAGAGCAGCACAAGAATTACCAAAAGAACACGAAAGTCGAGTGTTTGGTACCAAATCCCAAAAGCAAAGAGACACAGAGAGAGAGAACACAAGGTAAAGGTAAAGCCAGATTCAAGTGAAATCCCTCTCTGAGACAGACAAAACTCATCGATATCCCAACTAACGGAATCGAGCTTCGATAATAACATCACGGAAGAAAGTACTAGTTTACAGGCAAATCAAAGCAATCGAAACATCCAGTGCATAAAACTTGGGACTCACAGCCATGCCGACGCGAGAAGAGGAGGTGTAGATGTTGGTGCAGAACAGGAGGGGGAGGAAATAGAGAGGATGGCTGTGGCGATTGTGGAAGAAGGTGTCAAATGAGAACGCACGCCGACGGTGTCCATGCTCGTACTCTTCAGATTACGTGAAGACACGGCGAGCAGCCCTCACGCGACCGAGCCAACGCATGCCCGTTTGGTCGTAGTCGTGCCGGCACACGACTTGGCATCACGTCCGTTCGATTCGGTCAATTCCTTGAGTGGTTCTTAGTCTCGTATTGTATATCACCATGTCATTCACTTATCCTCTCTCTCTCTCTCTCTCTCTCTCTCTCTCTCTCTCTCTCTCTTATTTATAAATGTAGGTGGAATTTAATTTTACATAAAAAAATCAAATTTTAATGTTGATAAAAGGGACTAAAATTTTCAAAAAAAATTAAATATAAATATATTTTATAAAAATAATTTTTTTACAAAAGATTAATGATGAATACCAGTTTAGAAATTTATGATAAGGAATTAAAATATTTATCAATTAAATTTGCTAGTACCTCGAAGAAAATAAGATTTATTGTAACAAAGGAAAAGGAAATCATCTCATGAATATGATTCAATAATTTGATAGATCAATTATAATAACATACATACTAAATATTTATGTCAGACGCTACTCTTTGATCAATTATTTTTATCTCTGAATAAGTTATATAAATATACGTGGGCTTTGATTACCAAGGAAAAAAATTAATTTTCTATATTAATGATTGCTTAATTTGTCAAAAGAATATTTATAAAACAAGAAAAAAACACAATACATTATATAATAATAATAATATCTCCTGAAATATATGCATATCCTAAACCACCCAACCCAAATGTCCTTTCTATTAATATGCACATGTAAAGTAGGTTCATGAAAATTAAATATGGGAAGACCAAAATTGCAACAATAATTACACCTTATCTAATTAATTGAAATCTCTTGTGGTTGTACCAAAAGTCAGTAATTACCAAAACATCAGCTATTATTGTGCTTGGTTGGATCGATATATTTTTGCATAGTTGAATCAAATAATTGGGAATAATAAAAAATTATTATTATTATTTAGGCTAAATCATTTTTTTAAACTCACAATGTTGTAGCTCTTACAAAATAACAAATAATAATTTATTTAAACGTTCAAATAATAACACATCTACACTAATAACACCCATTAAGTAGGTGTGTTGAAAACGAACCAAAACCAATTCATCAATAATTTAATTTTGAAGATCTTAAACAATTCTGATTCAATTATATTAATATTGACAAATGATGTGAGCTTAATTTTATAAATTATATTAATTTTATTATATAGACTCAATTAAACCAAAATTTCAATTCGATTTAATTGTACCAAATCAATTTATTTAAAATATATATTTTTAAAATATAAACCTAGTAATTAAATAGAATTAATTAATTTTAGATAGATCTGAATCGATTCCCATTCGAACCTATTTTGATTGAACCAAACCAAACCGATTTGGTTAGAACCGGTTCGAAAACCCAGGCTTCATCAAACACCCACCAAAACCTTCTTCCAGCTCCCAGCAGTAGATCAAACCAGATGCAGCAAACAGATGCCCTTATGATTCATGCAGCAACAAGGATTTGATCTCACCAAAAAAAGTAGTAAGCTTTTAACGACTAACAATAATGCTAAAACTGGAAGCCACTATTTGAAATGAGAGTGCAATTTGGATGCTTTCTCACCCACCATGACTTCTGAATTCTACAATCTGATTCACCATGGTTTGGTCTAACCACTCCCATCTGCTTGCTTCAGAAACTGGAAAGGCCAGACTTCCACAACACCCCAAAGTCTGATATCAATCTCTGTCCATCACTCAAACACAAAAGAATCATATGCATATTCCATACCATACTGTGGGTTAAGAAAGAAGCAAACAGTAATTTTTGTTTCATGTCTCACTAAAACAATCACCAAATAGAGAATATAGTACCAATCTGAAACTGAAGAGACTGTTGAGGTACAAGTGATAATTCATATGAGAATATGATGATGCTTAACATGCATTGACCAAACCATTTTCCTCCAACTCAACCAACATAAAAGATTAAAACAGTAAGTGGACAATGATAGAGCTGATCCTCATTTCTGGTTAATCAACTGATGGTAAACCTCAGTTGAATGCCGACATCCATCATTTTCTACACACCCTCAGCTCAATACAACAGATGTACAAACCAGGAAAAAAGCACATGAGCAGCTCCAACTATGGAAGAAAGAAGAAAGAAGCTGCATAAACTAAAATAATAAAGTTAATTCTTTGAAGGTACTAATTGGACAAGAAGAACCATTTGGACAATGAGTAAATTAAATGCCAAAAGAACTATAAAGATAACTAGTGCTTGAGACATCAAGGTCAATAAAGAATCCCCATGAAATGTCGCAAGCGGCAAATGCATGATAGCAAACCAAAAAGAACTAGATAAAGAATGGTGCAGAGTTAATACTATCAAGTGAATGAAGAATCAAGTGGAAAACAATGCTGTTGGATACTCATTTGAGCATTTCATATACTAATCAGCATTCAGAAAGGAAAGAACTAGAAACATGCCGGAAATTATGCTGCACATGAGGCAAGTGCAATATTTCAGTTGCATTCACCACTAGCTTAACTAAAATGAACTGTATCTGGTTACCCACAGGTTTTGGTATTTAAATAGCCAGCAATCCATGACTCTACAAAATGAAGAGGCATTGCCTTTGATATACTGCCTAAACTAGTACAAGTGGGGCTGAAAAATTAAGAAGGGATGACGATCGAAACCCTCGACTAAATTCTCTAATTGTATGTCAGGATCTTTCTTCCCAGCTTTTTCACCCCTTGATAAAAGAGCATGGTAATAAACACAGATCCATTACACTATGATAGTAAAGACTGATGAATTCAATAGTGTATTCTAACTTTTGTGTCAACATCAAGCCAGTTTTTTCTAACGGAAAAAAATAACACATTACTTTAGAAACCTATTGCAGCTTACACCCTGCTCATCCGAGCTTAACTGGTTAAAAAAAGTCTAAATCTGGACCATTTGGCAAAGGAGACAAACCAGCAAGCACATTGATGACCTTCCGTGTCACCCTCCACTCAACAATTAAGTCGAGTAGAGCAAAAATCTCTGGAAGAGAGTAAAGGAGGAACCAAGGAAGGGGTTCCTCATTCAAAACCCTTACTATCCATTCACTGCCAAAATTTCATTCCCCCAAGAAGTTCATCATGAATACATTTGCAGCCAACAAGAAGACAGCGAGCCTCGCTATTTCGAAGCACAAAACCTGCACCTCCGAGCTATGAAATGGCCTCAAAAGCCCCATCCATATTCAGCTTGATCCACTCCGCTGCAGGACGTGACCAACATACTTGAATAGAGCTTATCCCCAGTTGCAAAGGTTGCATCCCTGCAGGCCGGGTTACAGTAGAGCTGTCATACAAGTATGAAACAGCTTTATAGGCAATCAAAAGGGGACTAATACAGACATTTTGGAACACTACATCGTTCCGGGCTGTCCAGATCAACCATAGGCTATAAGCGATAAGGCTAGCCGAGTAATTGGAAGAGGAAGGAAATAGGTCAGATCCCTCTTTCAGCCAGGACCCCTCCCCACAAGAATTGAAGATATTGAAATGCAAATGAAGTTTAGCCCGAAAGAAATCCCAAACTCTTAAGGAGAAGGGATGTTCAAAGAATACGTGTTGTTGACTGTCAGGTCCAGCCGAGCCAATTTGAAAACTAGAAACCACCACTTATTCCTAGTAAAGTACAGTGGAATAGGTAAACCTTGTATAAATGGATGGAATAGGAAATCATTGTATAAAATCCATTTTTTACGTAAAATTTTTTGCAAGAAGAAATCCAGGTCAAGTCCATTTTATGAAGACAGGAAACCAACTAACCGTGCAAGAATAATCTACCCTCAAGGCAGATGCCGGCCGTGAAAAATCATAAACAAGCAAAAATTTGTCTCACATAGAAACTTGGTATCAAGTATCTGATAATGCAATCAATATAATCTCAACCAAAAAGGGAAGCAAAAAAAGAAAAGAACATGCTGGTAGCAAAAATATATTAGCATCATATTTGCAGATAACCACACAATCAATATTCTCCTTGCAATAGCATAAACAAAACCAACACCAGCAGCTTAGATAAACTCCAAGAGCACCAGTTTTAGCAGAACAAAAAGAGGTTAAAGCAACCAAAACAGCATCCAACATCCCAACGATGCAATCATGGAATGCACTTATTACCAGAAATTATGCCCCATCAATTTGATCCTAAATGCCTACTCAATAGATTTATTGACCTTGTCTGGTAAGTAATCAAAAGATGAAATCCATAAAGAGCATTTGAGACATTACCAAACAATGCTGATGGATTATCATGTATATATATAATATAATCCAGATACTCCTACCAATCTAAATTTCCAACCTACTTATGACACAACCTCTCATCTGCAATCCACAGGAAGTCATCAAAATATTCATGGCATCAATGCAACCAGAAGAAAATAGCAATCGTTTAACATGGGCTAAGAACAACCATAAACCAGTTGAACCAGCATCTAAATGCATACATCCCTTTATCCATTTCCAGAAGATAGATCTACATATCAATACTGCCATGCCAAAAAAATCTCCCCTTGTTATCCTACAATGAACAGGATCGAACATGAAACATATGAGAGGTTAGAAATTTGATGGGGGAAAAGATAATCTTCGGCACTTCTTTTGGTCTTTTTTGTCATTTGATCGAATTAGATAGATATTTGTTTGTACAAGGAAAAAAAAGAAAAAAGAAACAGCAACAGATCTAAGAGATATCTCAGATCTGATCTGATACCACCCGATCCCTATATCCTCACCCCTCATAATAGCTTTCAGTCCTCAAATCCAGCCCCATACAAAAAGATCAAGTATAGAAATCATAAGATCGAAAGTGTTTATGAGAGTCGATAGGCGTAATGGTAAGAAGAGAAGCAAAAAAACCCATTTTTTTCCTATATTTCACTCTTCTCAACCGTGGGATTGAGCATCAAAGGCGGAGAACAGTATCGTGGAGATCATCGTCAGGGAGCGGGAGGAGGTTGAGATCGAAAGGCAGCGGCGGCCGGCACATCAACACGACATCGCCATCATCATCGATGACGGAGGAGGAGGAGCCGCAGTCGCTGTGGCAGTCGTCGTCGCCGTTGAGCACGCGCGGGGGAGGCGGTGGGTTGGCCTGCCTCTTGAGGATAGGTGGCCGGAGGCGGATAGGCGCCGCCGCAGACGGGAGCCGCGGCCCGCTGAATGACTCCACGGTGCTGCTGTGGCTGCTGGACGTTGGCCGCTGAGGGGGCGGCGGCGGCTGCGGGTAGTGCTGCTGACGATGATGGAAAGAGAAGTGGGCGGCGGCGGCGGGAAGAGCCGCTGGGGGGAACGGGGACGGGGGCGAAGGGAAGTTGGTCTTGGCCTTGGGACCTCGGAGGGCGATAGCAGCGGCGTCGTAGGCGCGGGCGGCGTCCTCGGCGGAGTCAAACGTGCCAAGCCACACTCGGGTCTTCTTCCAAGGGTCCCGGATCTCGGCGGCGAAGCGGCCCCATGGCCGCTTCCGCACGCCACGGAACCGCTTCTCCACTGCGATCGCACCACCGATCTGAGCCGCCGCCAGCGGGTCCACAGCTTGTGCGCTGCCCTTCCTCATCACCCACGACGGTATCGTCGACGGCAAGGGGATGCCCCAAAAAATAGGGTTTCTACTCACCAATCAAGGATTGGATCGGGGAAAGCAGGAGAAGAGGAATAGAAGCGGAGGAAGCCTAAAAGAGGAGTCTTGACGAAATCACCATCCTTCGTAAATTTCTCCCTTGTTGGCCGTCGATCGCCCACGATCGTATCGACACGATCGACCTAATAACTTAGCTTTCTCCTCTTGTTCTTGGTCGGCGGTCTCGTTCTACCATCCGCTCCTCTCCGCTCCCCGGCTCGCCCTCCCCTTCTTCCACCGGCCTATTCTTTTATGGACTTCCTCCGTACATTTGTGCTGTTGTGAAATGACCATAAAACCCTTCGTTTTTCTTCTTATTCTTCAAATTTCCGCTGCTATTCATTTATTTCTCGAGAAACGGCGAAGCTGCTCGATCGTCATGTCACGTAGAAGAACATCGAACGTGTTACCTATGCGCTTACCTTTCCTGTGATTGGAAGGAAGGGCGGGCCAGGAGATGCGTCCGAGCAAGAGCAATGGAAGGGCTCGCAGAGAGAAGCTGCTCGTTAGTCGTCATACGATGGAGACGGAGGGCAGGGAAGAAAGAGAGGGTCGGATCCAAACACGCGGCTCCGAATCGGGCTGGAATCCGATTCTCGTTCCAAGTGTAGCGTTCATTCGTCCGAAATTAACATGTGTTTCATTCCTCGGTTGTGATACGATCAATTTTGATCATTTATCGTATTTTGCATTACATATCTTGTATTTTATTTCATGTCTACGAGTAGAATTGCATTATTCCTTAATTTAGAGAAAATAAACTGCGATGAGAAAAGCAAAACTTTGATATCACATATCAAAAATCTGGAAATCGATCACATTATTAATTTGATTTTACATCCAAAGGTCTATGTTTCAATGACTTGTAAATATTATGTTTGAAGCTAGTCAAAGTCACTTCAATGTTGATTTTTTGCTTTTGATGGAACAAATGAAACCTAAACGTTCATACTGTTTAAATACACGAGAAACTAATCGAGTCTAAGGTTCACTAATTCACTGGTCGGACCAGTGAGTGAATCGGTCGAACCGTATTTTTCTTCCCAAAATATATTAAATAATAATAATAATATAAATTTACTTCAAAAATATAAATAAATAAATAAAATATGAAAAAAAAATAATTTAATTTTAAAGAAAATATAATGTCAAATACATATCAAATGGGATGTCTTAATGAAGATGGAAAAAAAGAAATTAACGGATCCATTTTTTTCTCTCATTAATTTTAATATAAATTTGATATAAATCTCTCATAAAACAAATAATAAAAATATTTAAGTGAAGGGTATTTAAATTATTGTTATAAAATTGAACTGGGATTAAAAAAATCGATCTGGTTAGTCAAATTTAATCTGATTTTTAAGAAAATTAATTCAATAATCGGACCGTAGCAATCTTCGATTTTTCCGGTCCAAGGATCGGATCCGAAACGAACCGTCTTGATCTACTGAAATGGATCCAAGCACACACCAACGGTCGAGATGTTCCGATATACCAATTCAATTTCTTGATTAGATTAAATTAACGATTAATTTCCAAGACCGGTTGAGTCCCATTCGGACATCATCATTGCCTATTACCTCCCCGGAGAGGCGAGGAAGAGACAGCCACCAAACCCGGCGAGAAGCCCGGCTTCGATGCCGATTGCTTAGTCTTCCTTCCCGTCTCCCCGTAAACGACCGCAGAAGCTTCGTGTGCGGACACGAAACGACCACTCCTAAGTGAACTCCAATCCGCGCCGTCCATTTCCTCCCGCATCAAACAAATCACGACCGCCCACCCGATGAGCTCGGGCGCGCCACGAAACTCTCCTGATGTTGAATGACGATGTTACCCTCATCCTAAATTAACTGGCAATCGGGACCCGATCGTCCAACCCAACGTAAAATCGACTCGGTGATTTGGACCGACATGTGAGGTTTCCACGTCGAACGCGTGGAAAGTGGTGCGGTCGCGGTGCCTTCTCCCTCACGATTCGAATAGAAATAATATCGCCACGCGATAGCCGGATGCACCGCCTCACCCACTACTATTCCCCCTTATTTTGATTCCCTCGACTCAGGCCAATGGAAGGGTGGTGGGGTCAGAGATGGCGATCCCACCGCCACCCACGTTGTTGCTTTGAATGGGAAGCAGCGGGGAAGCTCGCCTTTTCAACGAGGACATAAAGGTCTCCTCCCCCGACTACTGGAATCATATTACAGGCATATGTATGCGGATGGATTGAGAGACGGATTGGGAGCAGTGGCTCGTATGGCCTCCACGTCGCCTAGTGTTCGGTGCCTTCTGTTTTTGGGCTAGTGGGAAGTGCTGGAACCAAATGAACGAGTCGACGCAGCAGCTGCACCATCACCACCACCTCCTCCCTCTCCTCCGCCTCAAAGGGGGAGGAAATAGTACCCCGGTCAGGAAAACGACGCCAAAGGTTGGCGTTGGCGTTCAGCCCATGGCGGGCGTCTCCACCACGTCGTCTTTTGTGTGTTACGACGGGAAAAATTTTACTTCCTTTTTCGTGTTATTGACCGGCCTGCGCGCTCTCGTGACTGCAGCAGCGCATGTTCGCGCATTTAGTGTGCGAGGCAACGGCATGGGGTGGCCGGCGCTGGCTGCAGCTGAAGCGCTTCAGAGTCGCAGGCTGGCCGGACCCAGCGGTCCGAGCCAGTGGAAGGTTGACACGTAGCCTCGTAAGCCTTTCTCGTGGGCCGAGGAGACACCGACCAGTCGTGGCTGGACCAACAGGGGAGGCCGACAGCCCCCAGCAGTCGCTGTCCTGCTAAATGGAGTCTGTTCCTTCTCTTCTTCGTCTTCTCTCTTTTTTACCTCTCGCGTTCGTTCACATACGGGGGTTGAAGAGTAATTTCGGTCTGTTCCTCGCGTATTCAACAGCAGTCACATCTCGTCATACGTTCTGCTTTCGGGTTATTTATTATGAGACGCAGAGGGGGAGGGAGATAAAGAAAGGAAAAGGGCGGTGGGTGCAGGAGGTGGGAATGAGTGGGGAAACCCGGGGTTGGTGGTTGGGGGATGGGGCCCAACATCCATCGCGTCTCGTGGTTCGCTCCGTCCGTCTGCTAGGTTGACCGGTCTTTTCATCCTCCTTTTTCTCTTTAACCCGCAAACTTTACCGTAACGCTCGCCGACAACCGTGCCGTCCCCGCCGGGGCCCACCGCCACTCCTCTCCCCCACCGAGGACCTGACCTTGTGGCTAATGATGGGCCAACGGACACGCGTCCCAACCTTTTGTTTCGTCCTCTTCGAGGACCTATTCCTCTTGATGGTCCTCGCCAGCTTTGCACGGTCCTCTCCGGCGGGACGGGACGCACTGCCAATCTGAGGGGAGGAACGTGTTCCCTGGCTCAGTGGAGACAGGCGAGCCCGTGGCGTGGGCCGTGGCCCGCGTTCTTTTCAGCCCAAGCTGTGCGCTGCCACCCCGTCGTTAATGCGCCGCAGTCATAGTAAAAACCGAGAGCGAAAACAGAGGTGCGTGTGTTGGTATGGCAACGTCAGGGCGGCATCACATACGTTTCCAAGTGAAAAGGCCAATCAAATAAATAGTTCTCTAAGGTTAATATTCTATCCAACACTTCAACATATATTTGTATATTCAAGTGTCTCTTAAACTAAATGGCATCGATATTGGTATATGGAAGGTATGGAGTAGCAAAAATTAGGACACGAATTAGGTCAACGTTTCCTCCATTGTATTAGGCTTTAATTGAAATGTGATGCTACATGCAAAATTCTTATGATAAAGAATCTGGACCGTCAAATCTCGTAGCACCTCATCCGTTGGTTCATCACATCCGTGAAAATACAAAGCACACGTCAGCGGTAATCTTCAGCGTCCTGGGCCTATCGCAGTATATTTTCCCAACAAAACGGCATCTGATGGCCATGTGTCGCGCATCAAGAATACACCGCTATTTTTGAACGGTCATGATGAGCCGGTGAAAGAAACAAATATTTCATCGCAATAGGGTTCGTTATGCAGAAACTACACCCATATAAACCCCTCCCTCCTTCCTCTTATGTTCGCGCTCAGCGTCGACGAAGCGGAAGGCGATCCCCTTCTTCCACAACTGATCACTGATGCCGACTAAGGTTTCATTCTCTCAGATCCAGTATCTTGTCGTACCTTACATGGCTCTTTGGACGAAAGGTTCGTGGGGTTCTGATGCGACTTCTAGACTAGCCATTGTTCCATGTATTTAGTTGTGTTTTTGAGATAATAATCCTGTGCTTCGGTTTACTGCTGTGGATTTGGTGCTGATGATTGCTCGGCGTTTGCTTTGGGGTACCTTACCGTTGTTTTGTGAACGATTTGATGCATCTTTGTTTTGTTCGCTTCACTTTTTCCATGACGATTTTGTTTGTGCGCTTTACTTTTGGTGCGTCTTGATGATTCGTTCTCCATTTCGGTTTATTGCTCCGTAGATGTCTGGTTGCTGATGAGATGAATAGATTTGCTTTGGAGAAGTTACCCTCCGTTTTGATAGTGGTTTGGATGTCCATGAGATGCCGAACCTTCTTTGCATGCTGATTAATTACTAATTTTCACTTGGTATCAATATCCCAATTACAAGTCTGATAAAGTTTGTCCACGAACTTTCTCCTTATGCCCTAACCATCAACAGAATCCTTATGTGATCATCTTACATCAAATAATCATTGAAAAGAAGACTGAACTGAACCAGGAATCATGTAACAGCAACGTAGTAACACATCACAAAATAAAAAACGGTGCTTCTAGAAAACAGAACTGTTATGCTGAATTGGATAGTGTAGTGGACAGTAGTCAAGGAGCTAAGCAAGTCCGTGTCTGAGGGAGTACTTATACAATATAGCCATAATTGTCATTAGTAAGTTTCAATTGAAACATGCTCTAAGTAAATATTTTTATACAAAACTGAGGGAACGATCAACATAATATTTGATGCAGTGAGTGAGCAAGCAATTTGATAAAATTTTGGAAGAACTCTCAAGCAGAGAGATTGATCGATATAGTGCTTAGTAGGAAACACAACTACTGAGCTAAGTAGATAATTTGTAAAAGACCCAAATGACATCCTAGATAGCTCAAGACTTTTAGCTACAACAACACAGCATAGTTAGGTGAGATAGTCTAATGGAGTAAATTAAGTTAATTTATCCCTTAAATAATTTAAATTAATTATTTAAGGGATAAATTAACTTAATTTCTATACATCTACTAGTGGAAACCCAAGTAAAATTTATACTCCAGTGAAAATCATTGTATCATACTAGAGATGTTATGTTTTGGGAGTGCCAGACATTATTTCGAGACAACAACAAGATGTCTAAAGGTACAAACCTTACGATGACGTTACACTCCATTTCACTTGTACACCACACTAAAGATGCTTTGAGAGTGCTTGACATTGTTCGAAGACAGCTCAAGTCCTAAAGGAATAAATATTAAGGTGTTCTAAAGCAACTTATCATTGTGAACAAACATGCATCTTTATTTATTATGCCCTTTTGTCTCTGGGTTTGTGTGTCGGTCACACACTCGTTCTTAAGTGGTTGTCACTTGAACCATGCTGACTTAGATGGTGGTCCCACTGACTTCCTTAGATTTCACTCGAGCTTTGCTCCACTCGGGGTAGTTCGTCACTAAACATGGATACTTGTGTTGATTGATGCATTTGTGCAGTTATCTTGCTAATGCTTTTGAAGGCTGGATTTCATCTAGTTTCACTTCTTTCCGCCGCTATGAATATGGCACCCTGTTCTGGATATGTTTTGCTGGTCAACCCGAATCTGCAGGATCATAAATAACCGATAAAATGAATTTAGTAAAAATAACGGATCGTAATTTTAATAGAAGATAAAATGAAGAAAAATTGTTAAATATAATGTGACTCTGTTGGGCGAAAATCCACAGATTTCCAGTTAGAGGAGGCAAGTAAATTAAAGTTACTAACCGGACGAGTTACCAAGATCTGAATTGTTTGTAAACTCCTTAAATAGAGAATAATAGATGGAAAAGGTTCCACATAGGAAAACCAAAATAGTTGGTTCACAACAGTTTGTCTTCGTGTGAGCAGTAGATATCCTGGTACAAGGAGAATTCTCTTTATGATGGATACTAGGGTTCTCTGCTATGAGCCATAATTACATGACTCGTTTCCTATCCTTCATTTCATGACATCGTTGTAATCCCTTATTTTCTTTGCCTTCGTTTCAGGTGGACTTCAGAGAGATTGGTAGTAGACTTCAGAGAGATTGGTAGTAGGAATCGATTTTAAGTCATCCCACTGGCTTTCCAAGCGCGATCACCGTCTTGGAATCCGTCTGTTAGGTCTTTGTTTCGGTACATAGCTGGGTCCTTGTATTTTGACAATGAATAGTAATGCCTTCGAGGAATGATTACCTCTGGTCGCGGGGATTAAGAAATATGCTCCAGGTATAACTTGCAAGCATTAGATGCACCGGGTGGTCGAATTTAACTCATTCCAATTCCCAGATGGCTGCTTGGCTTCAGCTTTGGTTGGCTTGGAGTAGGTAAAAATTAAGGTGTGTATTAAAACCACAATCAATCTTTAGAAATTAGACTCAAGCAAACAATCAAATATAAAATAAACTCAAATTTTAATTAGAAATATCATAAACAATCTTTATATCAAACATATCATCAAAACAAAAATCAACTCGATCTTAAACGAGAAATCACAACTTATTTTGGATGGGAGGCTTTTAGGCGGGAAGGAGGATGAGCAAGTACGCTACTTCTCTTGCCCACCGCACCAGCTGGCTTCCACGTGGCGCTCGCCTCAATCCGCACGCCATCATGGTTGGCTTTGACTTCCTTGTGGCACTTGCCCACACATTTTTATCATTACTCTCCCATCATTTTACGACTATTGATCGAGTCCGGTGCCCTGCAAGTATTAAACAATGCCTTCTACTGCCTTCAATCACTCACACTCCCCCAACCCCAACCTCTTCTCCCTTGTGAGAAGCCAAAACTTCTGATAGCATCTTTATTCATTCTTGCCGTCTTCTTCCGATCTATTTCGGCAGTTGGGCATTTAGCGCTGAGATTGGATGGAGAGGTGCGGAGGATAACGACGAGGCGGCGGCTGCACTGAGCTTTGTAAGTAGTGCTCATGCTGGTCTTCCTTCCATTTGTCGTTGCTATTTTTGTGTGCGTGGAGTTCCAGTAGCATGCAAGAGTTATAAGAGGCGGAGCGAAGCAGAGCGGAACCCAGAAATGGAGGCGGAGCGGATCAGGAGGAGAAAGTGGAAGAGCCTCAAGGAGCGGTTGTCGCTTATGGGCTGCTGCGCCAGCGGTTGGGGGTTCCGCGCCTCCAATCCGACCACCATCACGATTAACGACGAGGAGGAGGCGGAGGAGTACGGAATCCACCGAAACCATAGAGAAGAGCAGGCGGAGGAGGCGGGGTCGGGGGAGGCAGTGGAGATGAATCTGGCGGCCGCGTTGGCCGCGGAGCGGCAGTACCGGGCGATTTCCGCCGCGGCGGACGAGAGGCTGGAGCAGGATGAGGCGGAGGGAGTGGAACGGGTGTCGCTGATGAGACTATTGGAAGAAGGAGAGGAGAATAGAGGCGGGGGAGGAGACGGGTGGTGTTGGTGCTGCGTGTGCATGGGGCGGCGGAAGGGGGCGGCGTTCATACCGTGCGGGCACACCTTCTGCCGGGTGTGTGCGCGGGAGATGTGGGTGAACCGCGGCTCCTGCCCCCTCTGCAACCGTCCGATCGTCGACATCCTCGATATCTTTTAAATCAACGGCTGCTGCTGCTTCACGCCCCCAAATCCCTTTCTGCTTCCACTATGCTACGTGATATGACGAAAAAGATGAGACCAGGGAAAAGTGATCTCCGATTACTTCTGTTTTGCTCTCTGGTTATTGTCTTTGTTCTTTCTTGAATGAATCGGATTAAAGCAGCCGTTTTATCATGTTGGGAGAAGTATGACAAGTCATGAGAGCACTACCGCCGGATCCAATCTGGCTTTCCATCAATATCAAAGCTCTCCATCGGAGAAAGGATCACTGAATGAAATTGAGAATTCAATCCAGTTGGTCCCTTGTCAACTTAAACAATTCGTTCAGATCTGATTTTAGCCAATCTTTCCGACCTAATCTAATCGTTACACATCTGTTCTTACCTAATCTCAAATAATTTTGTCATGTCTAACCTCCAAGCTTTCCAACCTAGTTTTAACTTCGTTCTTGCTTTTTCCCTATAAATTACACAGGGATTTGGGAGTTTTCTCAATCTTATATGTTGATATCACTTTAAATGTTGTAGAACTAAATATTTTTCTCTAGGCCTAAATTCCAGTGCTATAGATCATCATCTCTTTTACCTACTTGCACGCAGCGACGTTTAGCATTGTTTCCATGTTAAGCCTGACAACGGCAGCCGATTGGATGGGTCGGTGTTGGGCTGTAACATATTTCAGTGAACAAGAATGGCCTGTTTCTTGCAATTCCAATAATCATGAACTTGTTCCAGAGGAGTTGATCTGATGATTCGTGGAGTTAAACCTTTTAAAGAATCTGAGCTTACGGCTGGAATTCCTAACTTCGACTGTGGTTTTTTGAGATATATGTCAATCGTACTCGAACCTCTAATCTGATTTCTCAATCTCCTCAATTCTCAATCTCATCATGATTTTGAGGATTAATTATATATTATCTCCCTAATTAGTTATTTTTAATTTTTATATTTTTTAAAAATTATATTAAGTTTTTTATACTTACGAAGATATAATATTTAATCTTATTTTTTCTTATATTATCGATCTTGCTAATGGAAATATAATGTGTGTTCAAGGTGCATTACTATGTAATATACTCAAGGTGCATGACTACGTAAAGAGAAATCCACTATCGTAGAAGCATAAGATAAAATGTGTTTAAGGCGCATGAGTCGAGAAAACTCGGCCTACATAAAGAAAAATCTATCACGGTAGAAGTATAAGATAAAATGTGCTCGAGGCACATGAGTCGGGAAAACGTAACTCGTATAAAGAGAAATCTGCTATAATAGAAATATAAGATAAAATGTGCCCAAGATACGTGAGTCGAGAAAACTTGATCCGCATAAAGAGAAATCTATTATGTTAGAGACATAAGATAGAATGTACCGAAGGTGTTTGAGTCAAAAAAAACCTGACCCGCATAAAGAGAAATCTATCACAACGGAGGCATAAGATAAAATATGTCTGAAGTGCATGGGTCGGGTAAACCTAACCTGCATGAAGAAAAATATATTACGACGAAGACACGAAGTACAATATGCCAAAGGCATATACGTCGAGAAGATTCGACTTCTAAGAAAAATTTTCTAACGCTCACATGTCGAATGAAGTAAACATCACACTTTGACCTCCTCTCGAAAGAGCCATAATGAGAAAGATATCATAAGCTCATTCATGCTCTCAGGAATAAAAGCTTATCTTTAACACAAAGAGATAGGATTGGAAAATCTTTAGGAACCTCAGTCGTAGGTGACATTTAAAGGCTTCTACGTTTTCACGTTCTCCCTCTAGCAGAGGAGAATCACAACGCACCTTTACAAAATGTCGAGTGACTTCTTTTGGTGCCAGAGGTTAGGTTGGTAGGGATTTTTTTATCGCTAACCTGCACAAAGGTGCCACAAGTGCTCGTTGAGTTCGAGCTTGTGATGCGCTAGCTCTTTTTATCTCTTTGTTTTCCTTTTTCTTTTTTTTTCATCATTCACGTGGCACAGTCAAGCTGCATGCATGATGGTCATTTATCACTTAGGACAAAAAGAAAAAGATCTATGCAGGATTAATTATATATTATCATTTATAATTAGTTATCTTTTAATATTTTAATCTTTATATTTTTAAAAATTATATTAAAATTTTTTATATTTATGAAAATAAAATATTTAATCTCGTTTGTTTCTTTTTACGTTTTTACGGATGGATGAAGGGAAACGAGGTTAAATATTTCACTTTTATTTTTAAAAAAATATAAGATCTAGTATACTAGATGTACCTAATTATAGAGATAATCTATAATTAACCCTCTATCCACGACAAGACTCATAATGATATGAATGCTAGTCATTCATCACCTAAGACCAAACATAAAAATCATATGCACTAGAAGAAATATTTACTCATAACGATATGTCTTAACCATCCAATTTAATGGATATCAACGAGTGATTGTAGTTATAATGAGAAGATCATGTAAAACTTTTAAAGATCAAACTATTATTGAACTGATTCAAGCCAAACCGGTTTTGGATAGTTCCGTTCCGATTCCGGTTCGGTATTTTTCTTCGGCTCTGTATCTCCATCAGATCACCCGAGCAGCGCCATGTGCAGATAAAAGAAACAAGTACCGATCGGAAATAACACGCCACTGCAATTTCTCCGAGTCACGCTACAACAGTAGCTCTCTGCAATTCGCACATACAGACACCGATCCTTCCAACCTCACAATAGCAGCAGCTACGCGCGAGGCTTCTTCCCCTCCCCCACCCCCCATCACACCGACCCAAAGGTCGACGACAAAGATGGTGGGGGCTCGAACATGGGATCCAATACTCCCACCACGAGCGCTGTTCTCTTCCCCGGTGGCTATATATAAGTAGCAACGTGGAGTGACGAGTGGGAATAGACAAAGGAAATGGCGTGCTCCTTCCCGGTCCTCGACTTGGAGAAGCTCCGTGGAGAGGAGAGAGAGCAGTCCATGGACCTCCTTCGTGACGCTTGCGAGAAATGGGGCTTCTTTGAGGTGCTCTCATTCTTTTACGTGAACAAGTTGATGCCCACGAGCATTTGAAGCTAATTATCATGGCTTTCCATTTGCTTGCTGATGTAGCTGCTCAACCATGGGATCTCGCATGAGCTGATGGACGAGGTGGAGAGGCGGACCAAAGCGCACTACGAGCAATGCAGGAAGCAAAAGTTCAAACAGTTGGCGTGCAAGGCTCTCAAGAGCGGACCCGGGACGGATGTCACCGACATGGACTGGGAGAGCACCTTCTTCCTGCGCCATCTCCCCGTCTCCAACATGTCCGACTTCCCAGACATGGACGAGGAGTACCGGTACCGCTTCGATTTCCTTCGTTACAGCGCACCCCCCACCACCATCGACTGTAGTCTGCCCCGACTAACCTTCGCCTTCAGGAAGGCGATGACGGAATTCGCGACGGGGTTAGAGAAGCTGGCGGAGCGTCTTCTCGATCTGCTCTGCGAGAACCTCGGCCTGGAGGAGGGTTACCTCAAGAACGCCTTCTACGGATCCAAAGGTCCGAACTTTGGCACCAAGGTGAGCAACTACCCGCCATGCCCTCGCCCGGAGCTGATCCACGGCCTGCGAGCCCACACCGACGCCGGCGGCATCATCTTGCTCTTCCAAGACGACCGCGTCAGCGGCCTCCAGCTTCTCAAGGATGGCCAGTGGATCGACGTGCCGCCCATGCACCACTCCATCGTGGTCAACCTCGGAGATCAGATAGAGGTCCTCTCTCTCTCTCTCTCTCTCTCTCTTTCTCTCTCTGCGGGACAAAAGATCAAACAACATGAGGGCGTTCATGCAGGTGATCACGAACGGCAAGTACAAGAGCGTGCTGCACCGGGTGGTGGCTCGGAGCGACGGCAACAGGATGTCGATCGCCTCCTTCTACAACCCGAGCGGCGACGCCGTCATCTACCCCGCGCCCTCCCTGGTCCAGAAGGAAGCGGAGGCGTACCCGAGGTTTGTGTTCGAGGACTATATGAAGCTCTACGTCACGCAAAAGTTTCAAGCGAAGCAGCCCAGGTTTGAAGCAATGAAGGCCACGGTAACAGTCAATGGCCAACCTACGCCTACACCTTAGGACACCACGACGTCTCACGTGGAGATGCCACCATCTATTAGAATGTGGCATCCAATTGTGGAAATAATAAGCGAAGCACTATGAACGTGGCTTTTTTTAGTCTCGAGGGTTATGTCGTCGATCCAATTTTCCACTTCTTTGCCAACACTATTTTCTAATTAAATATATCAATGTCGAATAGCTCTAACTATAGTTTGATTCAAATCGGGTTGAAACTAAAACCGAATCCATCGACCGGTCGTTGATTTCAAATTGAATTGAAATCGAATCTGGATGATTCAATTAAGGAGGTTCTTAGGTTTGAGAAACCAGAACCAACAGTTCCAGTTCCAATTCAAATCATCGATGACATGATAAAAAAATAAATTATAATTTTTTTTCATATTTTAAATTATTTTTAAATTAATAATTATAAAACAAAACATCAAAACAGAGATGTTAAATATTGTCAATTAGAGTAAAAAAAACCACTTTCAACTTATTTTAGTCTAGATTGGGCAATATTCAATATGTTCTTGACATACGAAACAAAGTGAGAAAAATGAATCTCATGGTAACCAACATGTCAATTGAGAATGCAAGAGTCTAAATATCTAAATCATAATTCATCTTATTGATCTGTACCAATTAACTATCGATACAAATCATGATACAGAATATATCGACAGATCAATATGCGTACAATCCGTACCAAGCAGCATATGGTAACTATGACAAATCTTAATCTAGACTTACAACTACCTATGTACTATATCATCATGTAGATAATTCTTTAAAATGAACTTTGATGGTATCATAGGATAAAAACAATTAAGTGATTAGGAGTGCAGAACAATTTAGAGCAGATAAAGTAATGATATAATTCAGCTTCTTTAATGTTGTCATAAACTTCTATTCTTATCCCTGTGGATCAAGTTTACTGAAATAAGAATTTGATGAGCAATGTCGAACCCATTGCAGCTCTTAAAATCAGAGAGAGAAAATTCAGTGTCAGAATGTACTATGTTGATTTTAACTTCTGAGAAGGGTATCATCCAGCATGAGATACTCCTAACTTCAGCCAGGCAAACATTTTAAGTTGCACAATGGTAAACTATAGACGACAATGCTATATAATATGACTTATGGCAACATAAGGAATTCTTCTGGTGGATAAGCTGTCAGATGATCCCAATAATTTCATGCACTATA